TGGAATGGGTTTGGGGTTTAAACATGTCCCTCAGATATGTCAATTGATCTACACCTGGGACATGGTATTCCAGAGTGGAAGTAGATCTTAGTACAAATACTTCTGTTCAGAGAAACACCCTAACAGTACCTCAGATTATCAAAGCACCAGTAAGTTATATAATTAGTAAGACTATCTGGTGATGCTCTCTCAGCATGCTAGCTTTTTATTACACATCTTTCTAGGCTCTAAATACTTGATACAAGTTGGTAAAAAAGCATCGATTCTCTGCTAACAGGGATGGCAGACTAAATATATTTTTGTTTTGGGTTTTTAAAAATTCAGATTATAAAAATCTTGGCAGTCAAATTTTAGGATATTTTGTTGTTTTTACTTTTAATTTTATTTAAATGGGGATGTCCAGTCTTGGCAATTTTGGTGCATAGTGCATTTTAGTGCAAAACAAAATAATTGAGGCTTTTCCTTGAGTTGATAATTAAATTCTCTCACATACCATACCAAACCAATATTCAATGCAGTTTTATGTCTTAAAAATAGATGCAACAAACAATGCAACTTCCTCAAAATAAGGCATTGTCATGCTTTGTCTTTTTATTAATATATACTGAGTAGTGGTGTATTTTCATATCATTTTTTTAAAGGGCTGTCAATTACAATGTTTATGAATATTATAAGCTTTAAAAACTTGTTATGCCTGGAAATTTATGACTTTCCATTCTCTCCTCCCTTCCATCTCACCCCACCCATTTCTAAATTTTTTTTTTCAGAAAGAAATTTATGCATTTTTCATGCATTTGTCACCAATTCTCCATGCCACATTTCATGTCATAAGACCCCATCTACATATATAATATTAAACAGCACTGTGCCTGATTTATGACAAAATTACTGCTAGTTTAAACAGTGTCTAATTGTTGCACTATTTCCCCGCTAATGCCATATTAGGATGGACTGAAAATGCTCCACTTAGGGTCTTTTACTTTAATTTATTTACATCCATAACACGAATCTGTTAAGAGGTTGCACATTCTGCCAGCTAATACCCTGCTTCTTTGTGGCATTACAATTTTCTGGCTATTAAATTTCTATCTGCTTCCAAGTCTAAATAGGTACATTGAAATTTCAACACAAAGGAGAAATAATTAATCTGACATTATGGGCACTTAGCCGTCATCAAACCGTCATGAAGAAACAAACCCCATTAATAGGACAAAATATCCCAGCTTTGGCCTGAATGATTTCCCCTTTGCTCTTATTTACTTCTCTTTGTTTTTATTTACTTATGCCGTAGTCTCTATTTACCTGCTTTTCATTTCAATGAACACAGCCCTTATTATGGAGAAGCAATGGACTGAGTTTAACTGTTGACTTTAAGGGTCTATCAAAAATATGCAATAACAGAGTCCTATGGAGATGATAGGTTGGTATTTGGACAGGTAGAAGTTGTGATTTAATGTGAAGCAGGTATCTACAGGTGTGAGATAGGTGACTACAGGTGTAAGGAGGGGTCAGGAGTCGAGTGAGCACCAGTTATCAAAGATAGGGAAGAGAGAGAAGAAGAACGGCAACTTTTAGGAGTCCACGACCCGTCCCAGATCATCCGTCATGCATCGCAAGTGATCTACTGAAAAAAAATTTAAAAGGTAAGTTGAAAACCAGTTTCTATTTTGGATTAGATGGAAATAATCAAAACTGTATCTACAGTATATACAGTTTGTTGTGGTGTGGTGTCATCTTCCTTTTCAGAGATATCCGAGACATAAAATCAGCATTTTTAAAGGACTAAAACATAATTTGGATTTCATCATACTGTAGAAACTAAAAAGCTTCAGCTAAAAGATCCTGGTTACACCTAGAACATAATGCAAAATAATCACTTATATTCCGTGATTAATTATCTATATTATGCCTAATTACCAGATCATTACAATATCTCTGAAACACTTTGCGAAACCACAAAGTCATCCTCATCACATTCATGACCAATTATAAAGCCCTTGTTAGGTTCATTAAGCTTTTCAGTCGGGATTTGTGACCGATTCTAAACCAACTACATCATTAAGAAATAATTCTACATACGATAGATGAATAACCAGACAGAGAAGCCCAAAAATCAATACACAGATCATGTAATTATTCAACACCAACTTGGGGATAACGTAATAGCTGAATTATGTTTTTAATGTCATATACTGATGCACTGCAGGAGTGACACACTGCAGAAGTGCAAGGACTTTATTGAGGGAAAGGGATGCCTGCCTTTTTTCCCCTCATCTCATATATATATATATCATTTGAGGTGCACCTACAGTACCTCTTTCCTCATGTAGATATCAAACAACCAATACAACACCTTAATACACCACTGGGACAGTACACCATTCCTCAACACACCACTGGGACAGTGCACCTACCTCTTTCCTCAACACACCACCAGGACAGTGCACCTACCTCTTTCCTCAACACACCACCGGGACAGTGCACCTACCTCTTTTCTCAACACACCACCGGAACAGTGCACCTACCTCTTTCCTCAACACACCACCGGGACAGTGCACCTACCTCTTTCCTCAACACACCACCGAGACAGTGCACCTACCTCTTTCCTCAACACACCACTGGGACAATCCTTCATGAAATCTCTGTACCTAAAACAATGGGAAAATAGGAAAATATTATTTTAACAAATGCCCAAGAGTTTCTACATATGAAAACAGAGTGAAATGGTACAATTCATAGAGAAAATCTAGACAGCAAAGCTTGCAAATATACAGACACTTAACAGAAAAGAAGCCATCCCCATTACCTGATTTTCACATGAACAGGCACATTCCAATAAACAGCAACTTTTGCAATTTTAAGCAATCCAATCATGGTTATTTTCAAGGTGAACACAAAAAAAACATTTCTACTAGTTTCTTATAAAGTCATAAGTCATAAATCAAATTAATCTTTCATTCAGCTAAAGAATACCTTTAAAACTGAACTTTCTTTAAATTTTGGTCATCAATTGTCTACTTCATCTGTTCCCCCAGTTCATAAAGGTCAACTAAATGACGTACATGTTGTGCTGCATGTGTATTGCATTTTCAACACTCCCCCTCCCATATATATGGATCTAACTGCATGGCCAATTGTATAGTTGGTCAGGGATACTTATAGCACAGAGAGAAAACAGAAAAATATCTGTTCGATCATATCATGTTTTAGCAAATATAAAACTTTGCTCTTTGGTATTTCTCTAAGTTATACTGTATATGGTGGCATTTGGTTGCGTTTTGTGGCAAAAATTTGACTTTCAGAGCATCTTCAATGTCCACAACCAATTCTCCCCTTTTCTCTATCATATATATATTACAGAGCAGGAACCGGTCGAGTGGAACCTGACAAATGACATAATTAAATAATTCACAAAGTATGGATCTTTTCTATCTTCACATAATTCACATAATTCTGGTGAATGATGTGTCCTGTTCCAATAGCAAATTCAATTCAGATCAATTACTTTCTCATCTGATTAAGAATCTGGTACGTACTTCTATTTCATTCCAATCAATACATTTCTTAACACCATGATGAATGATTCACACCTGTTTCTAAGAGAAAAAAAATCCTCCTTTTTTCTGCCATTCAGAATAAACATGCTTGCATCTAAACTTGGAATATTCCACCATCCTGATTGCCTTTCTACAGCATTTTGATAATTTCACATTTCCTGAACTGGTAATCTTGATCAATATTCAATTATTCCAACTTCCCAGACAAAGTAATCATTTTGACACATGTAAGTATTCACCTAGCTTTCATTTGTGTAAAGTTAAGGTGTCTTGGATCTGAGAGTGCTTTTGAGTGCCAGTGCTTTTGTCAGCCAACTGCTTTCCATTTCTAATACACAGTTTAGGGAATGAACATCAGTCAGCTAAGCAGAAAGCATGAACTTTAGTTTACCATACGCCAACTTAAGCCTCGTGGCAAGCAGGGGGGGGGGGGGGGGAGGAGGTCTTCATACTTAAAAAATATCAGAAGCCTATTTGACATACAGTGTCCACCTACTTACTGCAGAATTTTCAACTGAATCATAACTGTACCAAACACTGACAAAGAAACATCTTGACTAAGTTTCTCAATGTATTGGTAGTTTGGTCCATAAAAATTATCAGGCACAAGTTAAAAGACAAGACAGTAATGGCTGATGCAAGGTGGTTTAACTTATCACAGCAGTCAGTCAGGAAAACGGATGATACTCAGTAATCAAATCATTCATGCTGATCCACTGCCTTATACGATGCAGCAATTCTTACCATTTGATTGTTACAGCGTAAATATATAAAATGTGGTCTTAACAAAATGTTCAGAAATTTTAAAAACATGTTGTTATGTATGGAGGAAATGACCTGAAGCATGATTGGTCTGGCTGGGGGCAATCAGTAAGTAAGGTATATGTATGCTTTCAGATTCATGACAATATTATATATATCTGAAGTTTTGTGGAGAAATTATTATTTTGGTACATAACCATCTAAATTGGTGAGACCCACTTTAAGCCACAAACAGGTGTCCTAAGTTTCAAAGTACTGACAGTGCCTCTCCTCTACCCAGTATATGTTCTCTGTCATCATTTCAGTGAGAAACTGACAAGATTTTCAGATTTTAGATGTGAAAATCCCACAGTTAAATTCAGGGTGTATACTGGCTTCATTTACAGAACAAGATCCTAGTACTTAATAAAATACCTTCAATAATCTACTTTGTCCAAAAATATCACGTTCATCTAATTTATTTCATCAAGTTAGCCTTTCTGTGCAAATGGGGTATTGATTTTGTAAAAAAAAATGTTATTTAGCTAACAGAATTCACCTACAAATTCAATTTTGTCTTTTTTTCACAGTCATTTAAGTCAGAGTTCATGGTGATCTATAAAGTGACTGCCTCCTAGGGAAAAAGTCGATCTTTCACGATACTTAAGCTTGCATGTTTTTTTACGGGCAAAAGCCCCACTTCTACAGTAACATCTTATTATCAACTTTTTCACCAGCTAAATAGTTATATTACTCAAGAAATTAATTTCATGTCAAAATGTGAGAATATGATTTATGAGAGAAAGATAACGTTGAGATTACAAATAGATTTTTAGATCGATCTATCCCTGTGGGGAGTCTCACTAGATTACTGTCAGCTTGGCCGGCTTAAGCGTCTGTACCGCCTACTAAAAGCTGTAAAGGGGTAATTAACTATGGTGCCCGCTCGGCTGACAGCAATTTAGCGTGAACCCCCAGGGAACTAGGTTGATCTAAATCTTAATCTTTAGATTGATCTAAATCTCTGGGAAAGCACCCTTAATCACATGAATCTTCCACCATAATTACTTGAAACCTCTAACTTCACAATTAAATGCATCATTTAACTGCTTTCATAGAATTTTCTGCAAGCACAGAGCTCATTTTTAACTTGGCCAGCGCTAAAAGCAAAGAAACAATAGTAAATGGCCATAACACATAGTCTAACATCTCTTCAAAAGGTAATTTGGACTTTTAAGGTGCACTTTAAGTCATTTTGCCATAAAAACCAACCAAATGCCAACATATAGTTTCCAATATCATAAAGAAATACCAAAGAATCTTTTTTCATATTAATTTACCCAAAAAATGTTCTGCCTACATTCTTTGCTGCAGATAACCATGCTAAATAAGCTAAAATTTGAAGAAGGTTCAGTTTTTATTCTCTTTCTTGACCGATTAATTTGATTTATCCCTGATAGGTCAACTTTCCCAATGCGTCGTTTAAGACACTAGTAGAAGTGGTTTATATGTGTTATTGGAGTCCACACCGTTTCAAATGTATCGTTAAACAGTTAAGCCCAGTGCCTGACTTTTTTGTAGAGATTACAACCAGTCTATTGCAAAGTTGATGACCATTCCTGACAATGCCAGTGATTATTTATAGTGTCATCACTCATTTACTAGTAGCTACCTTAAATTTACACATTTACTGAGGGCCAATTGCTTCTATTATTCCTTCAGAGCAATATCAAAAAGTCAACTTTACACAGCTGACTAAATCATTTTAGCAGGCTAAACTAACCTAAAAAACAGAAACTTTGCTAAAGTTATTATATGACATGCTGTCTAAATTCCCCCTGACCCCCCGCCCCCCCCCCCCCCCGGTCAATCTATCTTAAGAATTCCGTACCCCATAAACATACAACACCATGTACTAGTCAATCAAGTCTCACAAGCATACCACATCCATTATGCAAGGCAATTAGCCAAAACAATTTCTGACAAATCAACTTTCCTGCAAAATGAATAACCAATTATCAGAGGATAGAATAATTGTATACAAACTGCTTCTTTAAGCATGTTTCAAGTCTTCTTCAACAACCCAAGAGACCATCAGGTCCTGTTCTCCTAGTATTCATTAATTAAAGTTAACCCACCCTGTGTACTGTTCACTGTATATTCCCCTTGCCAAGGGCCATTAATGGTTTAATGAAATATCTAGCCATGAAATCTTTTGCATGCAAGACGAAAGCAGATTGTCTCCCATAGGCTTCTCTGCCACTTAGACAGCCTGACTTATATCATGTGAAACATCTTGATTAGCATGAGAGAGAGACGGGAATTCTGTGGTAGTTTTCCCAGAAAGCATCAAGTATTAATGGCGGAGAAATAGGCCTATCAATCTGCGAAGTGAACTTCATTTTCCTCAAACAGAAACTGATAACTTGGTCGCTGGGGTGAAATTTGGCAAAATAATTGGAGGTCTAGGGTTCAGATTTTATTTGCATCTCCTTGTGTGCCTGTCTGTCTGATTGCTTGTCTGTTTCTTATTTTAACTCCCACATGGACCTGTCTGTCTGTCCGTCTGTCAGCATGTCTTTCAGCAGGTCTGTCTGTCTGTCTGTCTGTCAGCAGGTCTGTCAGCAGGTCTGTCTGTCTGTCTGTCTCTTTATCTGTCAGCAGGTCTATGTGTTTATCCGTCTGTCCATCCTTCCATCTGTCTGAAAGCAATACCTACCCATGTCTGTGTTTGTTAGGAGCAACAGATAAGCCAGAGTACAAAGTAAAGGAATGAATCTTGTTTATTAACCCCAAGGGAGTGATCCAGCATGCTAAATCACAATAGAAAGTTCAGTTCTATCACAGAATTGAAGCATAAAGAAGACAAAAAATGCCCAGGAGAGTTTTGAATACTCAGGGCAATGGTCATAATATCTAAAACAACGAGCACCTGACATTGACCCCCCCCCTCCAATCCCCACAAAAAAGCACACTGCTGAGAAATATAAGTGATAATATATGTATTACACTAGAGCCTCATTAGGAGCAACTAGAACAAAAGCAGTTTCATGAAATATTACTCAACTTACCACTGCCTAATTTCCTTTTTGTCAACTGAAATGAAAAAACAGAGGTCATCAATAACCATTCAGTGCTAAAATATGTATTGTTTGAAGAGAACACTATGCACTTTTGGTTAGGCTAAAATAACATGTAGTGACAATTTTCATTTCAAGGACTGGCAGTATGCCATCACATCAAATGGCTGAGAAAAAATGGTTTATCTGCTGGTTTCATCTTAAAACAAGTGTTTGTATATATACCCTTAAGGTGCATTATATCCCCACATGTTATATTGTACTATCACAGCAACAAAAATGTATTTCCTTTCAATAATAAACTATTAATATCAAAGTGCAAAATGAAGACAGAATAATGTTATAATAATAATAATCTGAAAGAAGATGACTTCCCCAAGAGGCACAAGATCTCGTTAATCATTCTTATATTTATTCCCTAGAAATTCACCTGTGAGGAATCATTCCATTCTGAGGGGAGATAGCGTCATACGGTATACAGTAGACGAGAAGATTATTATCGAGTTACGCTATGTAACTCGGCCACCCTCAAAGTGAATGAAACTAGGAAATAATCAATAATCATCTGGATCATAATACCTCCACTAATATGATTATGATAGATACAGACACTTCATTTGACCCTATTATTTTCCTCCGTGGCTGTTTTTATGCAATGACATCTCTAGAGATTTAGTTCTTAGATAGTCGTGTCCACAATAGGGAAATTAGGATCAGTAAGTCTAATCTTCAATACTTGAAACAAATACACTCATAACTCTTACCACAGTAGCATGTAAATTATTCTCTCAATGACTAGGATAAAACCTTTCAGCTAAATGAAATTAAATGTATTCAAACATTCATACATGTTCAATCATCCACAAGAACTCTTCTTAATCTATAAATTTCTAGTAGATCTATTTGGACAACATGGAATATGTGGTGGAATGAGAGAAGTATAAGTGAGCAGCCATTCTGCAGCTGATGCTATTCACCTTAATTATACTCCATGCTGTTTGAGAGTAAACATATAGAGGGCAGAAATCTATATACATGGGAAAGCACCAGTTGGAGTGAACTCAGTTTTTAAAAAGTTTTTTTTTCTCATTCATTTCTATCCTACCTTAATCTGTAAGTTAGCTTTAGGGGTCTTTCAGCTTATAGATGTAAATAAAGGTGAAAGAGATTATACCACAAGATCCATGTATTGTTGGTATTTGAGAGTTAAAATATATATATATATATATATATATATATATATATATATATATATATATATATATAATTTTTTTTTTTTTTTTTTTTTTTTTTTTTTTTTTTTTTTTTTTGAGAGAGAGAGAGAGAGAGGGGTGGCAGCCAGAAGAAGATAATCTTTGCACACTAATAACTGAAAGCTGCATTTCTTCAAACTCAATGACCTGTTGATCAGCTCCGACTCTTAACAAAACAAACAGAAACTCATGTCTTTCTGTACTATCAGTGCCTCAGTCAACAGAGAACCCCTGGCTAACTTAAATGACATATTTACAATAGACTGAGGAAATCAATGTCTGTACATCAACTGTGTACAGTGCATTCACTGTTTTGTCCTAGAAATAGATGGTGATACTGATACAATTTGCAACAGTAATTTTAATTCGTTTATGTCGCGGTTTAATATCTATGGGTCGTTTTGTGCGATTGCTAGATTTATTCTTTTTTTTTTTTTTCAATATTAATTATTTAAAAATACTTTTGCCTTAGTAATAATATCGTAATCAATAACAGCATATGAATGTCATATAGTGATAATACGCATTCAATTTTTTAACTCAACCTAACAATGGCTCTTTGACTGGTAAGGCATGAACTAATCACTTTCTTCACTATCATCTTTCAACCTCAACCCGAGATCTGACGAAGTATATCTACTTACAATATGTGCACGACATCAGATCCTTCACTTCATTGGATCCAAGCTGTTTGCTTGCCTGTTTCCCCATATTCCCGTAGCCTCAATTGTTCATATGTTCTAACTACAACAGAAAAACATTCAGAATTTTGGGACGACTAATCCGACCCCGTCCTTTCATGTTTGGCGGCCATTTTCGACTCTTTGCTCAGTCACATGATCAGGATGACGTCATTCGGGATTTCCCTTCTTCAACAGGTGAGATGTCCCCCTGCGACTTTGCATTTGCGTCCTTATCTCTGAACTTAATATCAGCACTATTTCTGTCTCTCGAAATGTTTGCTTTGTAAATCCGTCTATTTCTCTGGAAAATATTTGTACTGGCGACACATTTCTCAGAGTTAAAATCGTGGACAGTCCAAGAAAATGCAGTGCCCAAGGCCTAGATCAATAGACATTCAGCGTTATTCAAGGCCGGCATGAGATTATATACGTCATTTGGTATAAATAACGGGGAAGCAGGTTCAATCATCGACCATGCAGAGCAATAGTCAATACAACTCCAAATCAATCTGAATCGGACTCGATCCGCAAGATAAAACGCTGGTGATATGCGGTCAGTGATTTTACGATTTTCCGTAGCAGGACCTATACTCTCTGAGTTCACCAATCAACCTGTCCCGTCCGTTCTTTACTAGTTTGTCGTGATCGGTCGCTCCACACCCAACTCCACCACGTTAGATCAGTTTAACTAGACTAACGCACCCAGCAGAGTCCCGTGTATTCTGGAAAAAGTAACGTTAGCAGTATATTGTGTGAGCTATTCTGCTTATACACGAGAAGACGCTTGTCGTGCGCTTAGAGACTGATCGATAATATTGATTTGGTCTAAAAAGGCTGCAGAGAGACATGCATTAGTGCGATGGGACATTGTTAAGCCAACGGAGAGCGCGTTTTGCGCCGCAAAGTGTTAATACGTTCTTACTTTGTGTCATGCGTCGATATTTTATATAATATGATTTCTGTTTGATTTTTAGTCTGATTCTCTTTATAGAAGTCTTGTTTTCCCTAATTATACCTCACCTGCAGAAATAAATATCTTGTGAAGCCTTCTACAGTTTCCTGTTCCGAACCCCACAGGTGCGCGTCCCTTTGTATCAAGCCTTTACCAACTGCAGGGCTATTACATTCTGCCTAATAGTTTTTCAGAAAATCCCTGGAATTGTCTGGTTGATAAACGCCTAACAACGACTATCTTGTCTAGTCTCGGCTTAACCGTTGTTGGCTGGTTTCGTGAGAACACATAAACATTTAATTTCAGATCCATTAAAAAGCCCATTACAAGTCCCAGAGGAATTCTTTCCGTGGTGAATAATTTGCTGTTCTTCTGTTCTTCGGGTAACTGGGGAGTTATATTAAGGGATAACAACAGTTCGGTTGGGCAAAACAATTCCTTGGGTAAACGACGACTTCCCATACTTACCCATGATTAATGAATGAATGCATTCCTGTATTTAAAGGTATTCCAATGTTTTTTTTTTTTTTTTTTCTAAAAAGTGTTTTAAACAATCTCTTAAGAGATTATTATGGAGTTATAGTTATCTATGAAACTCCACTTGGTCTGATGGCAAGCACAGATTCTAGAATAATTGTGATAACCGCTAATCTGGGGTAAAATGGAATTTATTATATATTTGCTAGTTGTTTACTTTGTATTTATCGTGAAATACGAATCTCCAATAACATACGTGCATCATATTTTGCAGAAGCCATCCGACACTTTTCTAGGGATTTTCTTTCTTTTATTTGATTGTGCAGTGAATTAGGAAGGAAAAGGTGTTCCAGAAAATGTGGTTTGAGACTGGTTAATACCTTAAAGTTTAAAGGATTAGTCTTACGCAACCCTGGAACTCGAACTCTCTCTCTCTCTCTCTCTCTCTCTCTCTTCTTCTTCTTCTTCTTCTTCTTCTTCTTCTTCCCCCACCCTCTCTCTCCTTTTTTTTCTTCAATCATTTTTTTGTTTTTGAATAATAAATGCACTTCAGAATGTATAGACACACAATAGACCCAGATAAATGAAAAAAGAAATGGCAAATATAATAGAAATGCATCATCTAAGTCAGATCGCGTCATATTTCAAGACTTTGTAGTCAATTAAGAGCCCCCATTCACCAGCCTGTTTTCAGCAATCTAGAGCGTCCGTTAATAAATCCGTTCATAATTGATTTTCCAGTGTCTGTGTCTTGGTTTCCAATGTAATGGAAAGCCTACAATGTTCTTACCATGTCTTTTGCCATGGACAACAGAAGCAATCAAAATTAATAACACAACGTTTATTACTTTCACAGCGACCTTCGTAAGAGCGATTCTGTCATGTCACGTTATTTGCGACGGATAAGAAGACCCGTTGGCACAAAAACACCGCATCTATTTAGTGATTTGAGCTTTGTAGCGTAAACCAAATGGCTCTTGAGTTAAAACTACACGTGGGACATACGATTTTCGTATGTAGGCCTATTGTACGTCAAGATTATGAACAATTTTAAATCTCTACGCTCTCGTCTCTGCACTCATTTATTCGTTTGCCATATATTATTTTCATGGTAACTATTTATTTATTTATTCATTATTTCTGTTACCTAAGGGTTACCAAGAAAGCTTATTGATTAAATTTATAGTCACACATTTAGAATTTTTTGTTAATGTTGCCGGAAAAGAAACACCCAATAAACGTAGATCATGAGTGGTAGTATATGTTTATTTTGGAGAAGATCGAAGATGCAATCTATTAATTCTGCGAGCAGCGCATTTTCTTCTCCGTTTTTTACAAATATGCTTCAAATATGGCTAAACGTATATACAACAGACACAAGCTCCAGTGGGACATCTAAGCCTGCTCCCCTTGCCCTTGTTTCCACCGCATCTTTCACAGCATTATGCTGTTTTAGCTTTTGATCTCACAATTCTTGGGTGATAACCACACGAGAAACTGTAGACACAACTGTATCCTGGCACCCATGAGGCAATGGCTTGGCACGTAGAAACCCCTCGCGAGTATTTAACAAATGCAGTGCACACAGTTCACTGGGCAGTGCCAGGGTTGAGGAGACGCAGGAATCTCTCTAGCAGCGGTGCTGGTAGTGACAGGAAGATGAACAAGTGGGTTAACAGGCAGGGCAAATTATAATTGATTATTCAACTAAATGTTGCCATATGCATTCATTTTCAACATAATACCTTGATTTCGCTCCCAAAGGAACACTAGCTTGTTAAAATCAATATCACGTCGGCGTTAAAATGTCGAAGAAATGCAAAAAATACCAGTGTCATTGGCAGTCGCTTCTTTAATGTGCTGCGGTTTCAGTGCTAACGGAACTCAATGCCCTAGATTCAAGACGCGGCACGTTTAAGGGTGGTTTGAAACTGGTGAACGATTTCTAAGAATCTCACGGCCTATTTGCTCGTCGAAAAAATGCAAGTGCAGGAACACAAGCGCAACACTGCTCCTTTATCGCGACAGTTATTCAAAATAAATCTATATTAGTGACTTGTTAGGCAAGCATTTGTATTATTATTATACGATTGGGCGTGATTTAAAATTGATGTCACTATTTTCAGATAAGCACACTGAATTTTGCCCCTCGTTCGTTTCTTGCTTTCTTATGGGGTGCAACAAGAATATTTCATTATCGAATAGATGCCACTTGGCCATGCCATCAGATACATATATCTATTGCATTACTTGGCATCATGTTTCAAATAAAGATGAGGGAGAATTGACAGTGAGGTCCCGTTAAGACATCAAATCATTTCCCAAGGGAAATAAACCCCGTCATGCGTGGCCATGGTCGACACAGTAGAACCATTTAGACTGAGAAAATATCGTGAATTGCTGTCTAACCTAAGTTTGTTTGCATGTTTAAGTACCTTCAAAGGTACATACCAAGTAAGCCAACGTCACTTCTGCATGCAAATATCTTGTTCTCATAATGTATTTTTACAAATGAAATGGAAAACTGATAATCAATAAGACAAAAATGATGTCCATAAGTCCCTCCTGATAACACTGAGCCAATCATCATAAATCGAAATTGTTCATGCAAAAGAGGAAATTTGAAGACCCGGCTTGTTTGACATCATGCTCAGAACATCTGACCCAAACTGCTGAGGTGAATGTCCATGTTTCTGAAAAGAATATTAAAGGATGGACTGGCAATCTAGCCTCCTTTGTTTAGGCGACTACCTGCATCTAGTCATCTAGACAAATAGCACCTTTTTACTAAAGCTGCTCTCAGTTTTAAGACCAGACATTTTGTCATCTAAGATAAAACAGCCATTGGCCTAGAAGATACACATATGTATTTCACTATTTTTAAATTATAATTTTATTTTTATTACATTTATTTATTTATTTATTTATTTATTAAACTTTTTGCTAGTCAGCCCCAATGCCCCAATATTCTCAACAGCTAAGCTTTATTGTGGGTAAGAAATCATGTGCAGTTTTCGCCAAAACACTATTGTGACGAGGATGTTTTGTGCGATTGTTGAGAAGATAACAATGTCACTGTCTTATCAGTCACAATAGTGTGCTCGGAAAATCCGTAGTGGAGGAAAACAGATTTACAATTTTTTTAATGTGTTGTGGCATAAGAACACTCAATCAATGTATTTACGCGACTCCCCTGATAATGTTCAATAGACGAAATCAACGCGATGCTTCTCACCTTGCATGGGCTTAACAAAAGACACTGCTATCAGTGGCACTTTTAAAAACACTGCGGTTGTATTCACAAAAGGTTATCCGTGTTAGCGCAAAATAAAAGGGAAAAAACAATAAGGTAACAAGCCTAGAACCATCACTTATATCAATTTCAACACTTGGCATCAACTTTTCTGTCCTTTTGTCCTTTGAGGGAAAAAATAACTTTGACCGTGTTCTGTTATCGATTATTGAAATCTGGAAGCACAAATAATCCATTGAAGCTCAAGAAATGTTTTTATTCTCGCCTACAAATATTCGAGGCACTAAATACTAGTGGCTTTGGTAAAAACATCCCCACAACGGTCTTCCGCTTTTCCATGAACTTGTACAACAATGAAGGCCACCGAAAAACATTTAGGTTTACGAAATCATTACAAACCACTGGTTATCATATCGTTAACGTTTGAATACACTTCTTTTGTCATTTGTACAAAAGTTCATTTTTTGCACTTTCAGACACGAAGAGTACAATGTAGAACTAAATCTAATTTAAAAGACTTTGAGACCATTCCCAGAGACTATCGTACTAACTTTGGATCGAACTATCTCCAATGGGGTTTCTCGCTTAATTGCAATTAACTTGG